GATAGATAGATAGATAGATAGATAGATAGATAGATAGATAGATAGATAGATGATAGATAGATAGAAAGAAACATCGATGTGAGAGACACAGCGATTGGTTGCCTTCTGCAAGTGCCCAGGCCAGGGGCTGGGGATGAACCTGCAACTCAGGCACCTGCCCTTGAGTGGAATCGAACCCACAACCCTCCGGTGAGCAGGCCGACGCGCTAACCATGGAGCACGCCGGCCGGGGTGACGCAGACATTCCCGCCTCTCGCCTGGTGTGAGCCCAGCAGCCGGGCGCGGATCTTACCTGCTGAACAGATTTCTCTTAAACTGGTGTTAAACCTGATGGTGCCCGATGGGGGCCCAGCCTAACGGGCTGTGAGGTGACCACATGACTCTCCCGTTGGCAGAGGGGGCATCCAGGATGGCGACATCATCGTCAAGGTGAACGGGCGGCCCCTGGCGGACTCGAGCGAGCTGCAGGAGGCCGTGCTGACCGAGTCCCCGCTGCTGCTGGAGGTGCGGCGTGGGAACGATGACCTCCTGTTCAACATCGCGCCCGAGGTGGTCCTGTGAGGGGCCGCCCCCCGCGCCAGCGCCAGGGCCTGCAGCCACACAGGTGCCAGCTGAGCTGTCCACCAGGAGCCACTGCCTCCGGCGGGCTCAGGACGAAGGACCGAGCTCGGTCCTCAACAGAACCAGCGCCTCCGCCCGGCCATCCGGGGACAGAGCCACAGGCTGGGCTTGGCCAGGGTCCGAGCCTCAGCCTCAGGGAGTGTTACTCCCGCATCCCGGTGCCCGTGGGGGCAGCCCAGTGTCCCCCTGCACAAACCCTCCTGAGGGCCACCTTTCAGACCCTTGGGGTAGCATATGATTCCGATACTGGGCAGACTCCTCTGTGGTCCCCGGAAGCCACCCTCCCCCCGTCCTGCCTTTGCCCCCATACCTCTGTCCGACCTGCCCACCTGCCTCTGCCCTGCCCTCCTCAACGACGCACCTCAGGGCTCAGCCCCCACGGCGAATGACCGGGGCTGTCCACCCGCCGGCCCGGCGTCCCTGCAGAAGTCAGGTGGCAGGCCTGGCCCGGAGCAGGCACCCAGGGACGTCTTCTGGCTGCCCAGCGGAGCCCTGTGGCTGGCAGTGAAGTCTCCTCCCCGGTGGGTGAGAGGCCAGCGGGGAGCCTCGTGTGTCAACACTCTAGAAGGCTCCTTGTCCTCCTGGAGGGGACCATGGAGGCAGAAGCAGGGGCAGAGGAAGCTGGGACCTCCGGGGGAAGGGGCCGCAAGGACTGGGTGCTGAGCTGTCCTCTGCCGAGCCACCGACCCCGGCCCCTCCTGTCCACTGGAGCCGTGTGGTCCCCGGTGCACCTGTGAGCTTCGCTGTACAGTCGCCCCACCCCCACGTTGCTTGCATTGTGTTTCTCTACTGTACGAAATTAAAGTTTACAAGCACATGGTCCTTAGCCAGTGGGGGCATTCGGGGCACCCATCCCTGCCGGCCACAGACAGCAGGCACAAGATCACCCAGCCACTCAGGGCCCTGTGGTCTTGGGCAAGACGCCCCTGCCTTGGGGTCTCCACTGTGCGGGAGGGACGGCGACCGCTGGCCGCCTGGCAGGTGGGCAGAGCACTTGGAAAGGTGCGTGGGTGATGGCCAGTCCCCGCTGTGCTGCGTGCGCCCGGCGGGTAACAGAGCTTTCCCTACGTCTGCTGTGTCCCCCTCACCCTAAACCACCCGGTGGTGGGGATGTGAGGCAGAAAAAGAGAGCAAGGTATGGGGGTGGGAGTGGGGGTGAACTGCAGAATTTTGAGGCTGGGGTTTGGCAGGTCCAGATTTAAATGACCCCCATGGGCTGACTGTGGGAGAGGGACTCGGATGGCTGTGGCAGCAGCCAAGATCCTGTTGGCCCCTGGGCACGCTGGGTGTGGGAGCTGTGTGCACGCAGCCGGCCGTGCAGGGCACGTGACCGAGACCACCCTTAGAAGGGCCAGAAACTGTTGTGACCTGGTTCTCTACCCGCTTTCAAAATCCTGGGGCTCAGATCGTCACGTGAACCAAGCACCCCTCCCCACACACCGGCCCCACTGCAGAGGGAGGGGCTGGGCCCAAAGGTGGCCCTGCAGGACACCCAGCCCCCACGAGGCCACGGCGCCTGCCTCTCGCTGGCCGGCCTGCCCCCCACCCCCCACCAGCATCATCTTCTGGAAGAGCCGGAGCCTGGCCAGGAGCCTGGTCCAGCCCACGTGCTGGGGCCGCCTATCTTCCAGCCACTCTCATCCCTCTGCTGCCATCCAGCCTGGGCCAGACTCAACAGGCCCTGTGCCATCCTGACCCGCTCCCACCTTGCCCCCGCTCTCACCCCCACCCGGGGGGCCCGCTGCCCTCCACACAGGCAGCAGCTCACAGAGCGCGGTTCTTGTCCATCCCTGGCCACCTCAGCCAGGGGCCCAGAGGCCACCCAGCTCCTCCTGAAAGGAAGGAGCCTGGGAGCGTCAGGGCCGGGGTCCAGGCAAGGCCGGTGTGGGCCCAGAATCGGGAAGAGGGCAAGCTGGGGGCAGGGCATTTAGAGCCCAGCCCTGAACTTGCCCAGGCCTCTGAGAGGGATCTGGAAGTCCAAGGCCGAGGTGGGGCCCATCCCGTTCCTGGCGTGCGGAGGGCTGCCGGTCGCTGTGTGCCCACGGTCCACACTGCAGGGGCGAGAACAAGCTTGCGCAGCGTCCTCTTGGGGCAGCAGTCTCGTGATGAAGACCCCACCCTCACCTAACTCCCCTCACCTTCCAAAGGCCCCAGGCCCACCAACCAGCACACTGGGGGTTAGAGCTTTGGCATATGGATTTGGGGTGGGGTGGGGTGGATAATTCAGTCCATAGCACTGAGGCAGGAGTAGAGAGAAGCTAACTGGGGACGTGGCACAGAGCTGGTGGCCTCTGGGGCAACTGAGGGCAAAGCCCAGAGACCCTCTGAGGAGCTGTGCCATCTGAGCTGAGACAGGTGCCCCAGGCGTGGGAAACTGGCGTGTTCGTGCAGACCTGCCCTCCTGCTCTCGGGGCTTCCTGGTGTCCCCTGGGCTGGAGAGAAAGAGGGACACAGGCACCGGAGGCGGTACTGACAGTGAGCCCAGAACTGTCCCTTGCAGCTGCGGGTGACCTCAGGTGTAGTGCGGGACCTGGGCAGGGCAGCAATGGCCCCTGCTGCCCAGATCTTGAGAGACTCAGAGCAGAGGTATTGGGAAGCCCCGGCATCTGCCCAATAAATGCCAGTTGGCTCATGTACTTCCAGCTTCCAGACGGGCCACCCGGCTCCCAATGATTGGGGCTGCCGTGGTGGATGTGCGCTCTGTGGCATTCNCGGCTCCCAATGATTGGGGCTGCTGTGGCGGATGTGCGCTCTGTGGCATTCAAGGCCCGTCCTCCACCAGCCACCAGCCCTGCCCCTCCCCACCCCACCCCGGCCCATGGAGCTTGCCTCCCAGCTGCTCCTCCAGCTGTGCTCCGTGAAAAACAACTTTTTCAGAGCCCGCAGCTGCCACCATTGTGCAACCCTCCAGGCTTTTAACA